AACTGTGTGCTGTCCACAATGCAGTATGTTTATCTGTAATACAGCCATTGTGCAAAGTTATTCCAAAAGGCTGGACCAACAGGTTTATGGCCATGATGGTATTAAGATCTCTTTCTCTTTTAGTTTCTCAGTATCCCACATCATAAGAGAGCTGAGAGACACCTCCTTCTCACAGATGGCAGCTCCACTCCCTGTGTGGTTATAAGGCATACCTAGTGACTCAGCAGTAATGCTCAGTTCTAATATATTTAAATAGGACAAAACAAACAAACAAGCAAAGTCCTTCGCCTTTGTTTTTTCTCTAATCTACAGGCATCTGATTAACTGTTCGTGCCATTCTTAATAGACCTGACATGACTCATGACAGGTGCCGCTCAATCACCACGCTGTCTCTTGATTATGTGCACTGGACTGTTTCGTGACGTGCAGATCGACAGGAAATTGCAGTTGCACTGATGTGTATCACACTTGTTGTAAAAGTAAGCCAGACGCTGATTGATTTCCTCAAATATTTTTGCGGTTGTTTGGCAAGTTATATCCCTATTTCAATCTCCGCTTTTGTATAAGTTGGTTTTCACAAAACACATTCCGTGACGTGCGCTTGATACTGACAAATCTTCCACTTGTTTGGAATAACAGATTTGCAGTTTTAGCTGGTCTCTATCTCAGCTTTGGTTCATCCGAGAGTCAGGGTCTGTCTCAATTTCTGTTTTTACTGAAGTTCATGGTGTCTATCGTAAACCTGTAATTTACTGTCGTGTGTGTAAATTCAACTTTAACTTTTTGTTTGCTTATTTGTGTTCACTCTGTAATTCCGATGCCTTGTGAAATTTTAAATTTGTGATTTTGTGTTGCAATTTACTTTTCAAAGCCATTTTTCTGTGTCTGTTCATACTGGGAAACTAATGGCATTTTGAACTCTCTCCAAGAATAAAAATCAGACTCATTCCTGAGTATACTATGCATTGTTTTGTAAGAATTTAAACTTGAAGTAATAGTGAATCAAATCTTACAATTAATTTGAGAGTAAATGGGTAAGATAAATAAATATAATAATTAAGAATGATAATTGGTAGAACTATTTGAAAAGGCAATTTATTTTAAATGTTTTAAGCAGGCATTAAAACGTTTAAAAGCTTACAGCAAGATGGCGAGATCTCATGATGACAAGCTGTTGACTTTGTGACATCCTTTTTGTTCAAGTGATTAGGTATGTTGAATGTATTTTGCAATAATCCTTAACAGACAGACAAAACATTCTAGTTTCAGGAGTCATACACTGAGCATTTCAGTGATAAATTTGGATTCCATGACCCTGTCAACATGAACAAAGCTGTGACGTTTCTGCCTCGCTTTTGTGTTCTTTCTTTTAGGGAAAACATATGATTATTACTGGATTCTGATATGAGATTGCAATTTTACAAAAACGATACCAAGTCTACCTATGAATAAAAAATATATGTCTCACAAAATATTAGAATAAGATAGCTGAGGACACTGAAAGCTTCTTTGTGTTGGAACTAAATGTCTACACAAGGTCTTTACATACAGCTGATTGTAAAGCTCCAGCCAGTCTTTGATCCTTTACTTAGCTTTGATGTCCCTGAATAAAGTCCTCACCACTGACAAAAATGTAAAGACAAACAATTCAACTGAAATTTCTCTTTCATACACAACAATCATATTTTACAAACACTTAATAAACACAATTTTTAAGTGTCTAGGAATCATCCTTGACTTGAAAACGAGATGCCTTGTGCATGAGATGAGATAAAGAAGTCCGGTTGGTTGACTTAAAAGAAGGAACAAAAGAATGCTGCGGAGGATGGTGGGATGGTGTCTAAAAAATGAAAACATTTAAAATTGTTGACACACGTCACATCCATTTGATTTGCAGAAAATATATAAGATCCTCCTGAGAGGTGGTTCGAAGTTCACATTGCAGCTGGACAGCTCAAAGCTCCAAACTTGTTCGTCGGTTTAGGTAAGTGCATGAATTATTTTGTAATACCAGGTGCTCAAATTCCATTTTTAAAATGAAATCCCAATCTTTCTTTATGGTCATGTAAATTATTGCGGTCCATATTCATACAAATAATTTAGAAATTAATACATATTTCCAGTGATGTAGATTTTGAGATGTTTTATTTTCTGGAGCTAAAACTGGATTGGGGCACTTCTGCTGACATGTATCACTTTTTTTTTAAACTTGTGTTTGTTGGAGCAGAGGAAAATATTATTGAAAAGACTTGCTTTATCTCAGTATTGGGGAGAGAGTGTGCAGCATTCTGTTGTCTTGATAAATATATGCAAGAAAATAAGGTCCATGATTCTCAAGTTCTGTCTGAAGTCAACTGGTCTGGATAAATGCTAGGTTTCCACATTTATTGTAGTGTTAAATATGAATGACGTACAAGTAATGATGAAATACTGAGCTGGGATTTGAAGAATAATGCTTATGATGTGTTAAGTAGTTGATCATTCTGAATTTATGAGTGTAATAATTGTTTTAATAATTAAAAAAGTTTTTAGAAACATTTCTAAAATAATTTTAAAAAATATCAAAAACTTTTACAAATAATTTTAAAATAGCACCATCGCCTCAAAGCAAGAAGGTTCTGGGTTTGAGTCCCGGGGCACCCAGGACCTTTCTGTGTGGAGTTTGAATGTTCTCCCTGTGTCTGCATGGGTTCTCTCTGGGTTCTCCAGCTTCCTCCCGTAGTCCTTATGAGTGAGTGTGCGTGGTTGTTTGTCCTTGTATGTCTTGTGTGTGGCCCTGCGATGGACTGGCGGGCTGTCCAGGGTGACCCTGCCTCTCACCATTTAACTACTGGGATACACTCCAATTCTCCCCGCGATCCCATTAGGGAATAAGCGATAACGGATAATGCATAATGGATGGATGGATGGATGGATGGATGGATGGATGGATGGATGGATGGATGGATGGATGGATGGATGGATGGATGGAT